TGTACATCTTTGCCAAGTTATACATTCGTTATAATTAACTGAATAATTTTATATCCTGTTAGAAATAGCACTGCTAGCAAACATGTAAAATAAGCAATACGGTTACCAACTATCTACGTTACCAATCTGTTTGGTACCTTAGTGATCACTGTTAATATTAGTTCGTTCATTACCATGCATCATAGCATTTTCTCGGATTATTTTACTTTTTGTGTATATTCAGTGTCATTTCCTATACCTAACTGTCTTCAAAAATCATTATTTGGTATGACTAGAGTGTATTTAGCAAATATTTCGGGTGATTATGGTATAGAGATGACCTAAATAACCGCAACGTGTTTCCAACCAGTTCTTAGTCTATCAGAAAACCGCTTTTGTAAGTGCGTAGTTTATGAAAACGAAGACAATAATACTACAAAATGTAAAGAGATTGTACATATTTATTGAATTTGTAGAAGTCTTCTACAGGTTAATCTACCTGGTAATAAAAAAACATATAAAGTCGTCCTTGTGGATTTCGATTATCCGTCTCTTCAATTCCCTTATAGGGAATGAAATAGATTCTTAAGAGTCCCCCACATTTTTCTTGGTCAGGGTTGTATATTTATGGTGAGGATCGAGATGTTTTCAGTACGGACTTCTATCAACCATAAAACAGAACTGATTTTTAGGCATTTGGATATGAATGAATTTCTCACAAAAATCTAATAACTGCTATCTGATTGGTTTGTCCATAAAATATAATGTCAGTAAATTAATATTTGTTTTAAGGATAAAGTGTTGAGAGCTTAGGTATAGTGTCGAGTTGTTTGTTACTTTCAGTCTACTGAGGAAGAACTGTGTGTTTGGTAAGTTTAGCAATATTATTCTTACTCTATAATCGCAAAAACTGAATTATTATATTAAACGTTCTGAGCACAATATGAAGATATTTCTACTGTTCGTTATACGTGATATTTAAATTCGCCACAAAAGCTTAAATGTCACCTTCTTGATTCTGTTTGTCTCGTCTCTATAATTTTATCATCTTTTGTTCTACGTTAATTTTTGTTTTATTCTCGGGCAAATGTCTATCTTCATTTCAGAATGATGAAATTGTTCGAATGAAAAGTCGTATGCAAGAACTGGAAGAAGAACGTAATCGGTTACATCGAGTCACATCTGCACATTCATCTCAGTTAGAGAAAATGAAAAAAAGCTTGGGCGAAACACGTGTTCACTGTAATGAACTAGAGACAGAAAAGACTAATTACAAGAAGGTATATTATTATCCAGTTAATGTTTCATAGTTGTGCTTTGCTTCGTTTTTGTTTCCTATGATCTTATGCAGACTAATCAATTAAAATACATTTTACATCATTATATGATATCGTTTGTATAGAGTTCTAATAAAAGGCAAATTTTAGAGTAGATATATCAAGTGACAGCTTTATCGTTTAAACGCTTAACTTGTTACCACTGTATGGGCAGTTTAAACTTCGTCCTACTTTCAATGTAGGCATCTACAAAGTATCACTGACGCCTACACAAAATCAATTTCAAAAGCTGATACTCAGCTACTAATTTGAACTGAAACAAAATGTGCTGGTTCGCGATGATAATGCCTAAAATTTTCAGGTCAACATTTTCTCAGTTATTCATTTATTCATTGGTCCGTGTATTTTCGGAAGAAAGTACGTCTTGTTTAATTAGTGAAATAATTCTTGTATTATTAGATATTCTGAAGCAGTGATTAAAAATTCTTTCGGAACAACATACAAACATAACGTAGGCTAGCATAACGAGATCAAGGAGCGTCTTCTGTGGTTTCAAAATTGATTCATTTTGTAAAACATTCTACCTAGCCTTGTGTGTCTTTTTGAATTTTCATGCAGATGTATTTAGCTACTCATGAGTACGTTGTGTGCATTTGTGAATTTCGATGGGGATAACTTTTTGGGTTTATGTATTCATGGAGTTATTTGTAACCAGCGTTCTGTAGTATCCCCATTGTCTGTAATTTTCTTCTAACGTCCGCTTGAGTCTTTCTTTTTAATAGGTTTGTGTTTGTGTGACTAGCTATGAGGTTTCGGACACTAGGTAATCTAAACTAAAAATAATGATATAAACACAAAATTCCCTTATTTGTACTACTGTTAGTAATAATAAAAATATAATATTTAACATGAACCTAACGACAAACATGAACTCTAAACAGTTTTATTAATGTTTCGAAAGTATTATTTAAGTTTTATTCCCGACTACTTCAAAACGATATACCTCTTTTTGATGGAGTTTTGTTCTCTGAGCTGGATGGTTTGGTCGTGGAGCTTTCATCGTTCTTCTGAACGATATCATAAGCACAGATTTCAGGTAGAAGTTTAATTGTTATGTACTCATTCACATACCTGTTGGACTTCTATTTCATCATACTAAAACCAACTGAATTTCGTTTATCTTAAACAGGATTATGATTCACTGAAACGTAATTCTGATCAGCAAGTTCTCGAAATCAAATCTTTGACTACACGTCTTAATCGTGCAATTGAAGAATCTGACCGTTATAAAGCTGAATTAGAGAAGGTCCGTTCATCTACACGTGAGAGCGTTGGATCTATGCGTCATAATATGGATGATTTAATGGCTGAAAATAAGCGGTTAGAAAAGCAAAAATCCGAGTTAATTTCAACATTTAAAAAGCAAATGAAATTGATCGATATATTGCGCAGACAAAAAGTAAGAGTGTAATTATTTATTTGAATAGATAAAAACATTTACTTCGTGAACATATTTTGTTATGTTTAAATTTCCCCTTCCTCCTATCTTTTACTGCTGAAACCACTGTCAGTTCTTTTTTTTATCTCCTACCTAGTTTCTTATGCCTTACCAAGCATTGTGGTATGCCACAGTGTTATATCATCCTCTATTTATCAGTGCTTTAAGTTGTCATTTGTGTATTCGTGCAACCAACAAGTAGCACATCCAGCTGTGGTTCGTTATCGGCTTTATGCAAGTTTAAAGTGATGGGTAAATGATGAGGGTTATAATACATTTGCATCACATGGTGCACAAGCCTACGGAGTTTAATGCTCAGTTTTAACTGATGATAAACTTAATGAACTCTAGAACAATTTTTTCAAATCTAATCTAATTTACTTAAATTTTCTCTCATTTTCCCCATTATTTTGAGTTTGAAATGTAATGATAATTTACCTTTGTTATCAAAAGTAATACAATAACCTGTCCATTTTATTGAGCTAGTGGTTAGATAACCTTACCTGAATAAACTGCATATTCATGATGGTTTTTTGTACAATAAGCAAGACTTTTTTATTTTATAGTCTAATAGCCTAAAAATATTTAGATGTCAGCCGTTTAGTGCATGAAATTCTTTCTGTTCAAATGAATATTTGTAGTGTGTTATTGAAGCCAATTAGATTCTTTTCCTTTCATATTTATATTGTCCATATTATTGTTGTGTGCTTCTTTTTCCAGATGCTAATCGAAGCCTCTAAGTGCTTACAAATCACAGAAGATGAATTTCTAAAGGCTCTCGATTGGTAATGTCTTTCAACACAAGCATTTTCCTCGTAATATATTAATCTTCTGAATATTCATATTATCAATGATTATTTACGTTCTATATGCTTTATTCATTTAACTTTTCACATTTGTATTGTCTTTATATTAGATAAAATATATATCTGCTAACAAAAATATGTTATTTATTACATTCACCATGGATTTCCTTTTGTGATGTGGATTGATCTATGTTGCTTCAGTTAACAATATTCAGTTATACCGTTGAATACTTTTTTGTAAACTAATTTTAATATCTTTTTAATTTGTTAACTATTCAATTAGTTTTTACGGTGATCTCGGCTTTCGTGAAAGTAATATATATATATAAATCACTTGAGAATTACCCTGCTAACTAATATTAGATGAATAACGGATACTAATGTCGCGTTAAAGACAACAAATTGATGATGGACTTTTCCAATCGGACTGATTTACGACAAACGTAAAATTTTTATCCCATGACTACTGACATCAATAATTCTTTTTGTAATATTTTGCAGGTACCATTGAGTAACAAGTATGCTATCTAGTGATTAAAAATAACAGTCAATTCAAAACTTTCTGTTTTACGTGACATCTTGGGAGCTTTCGGCTATCTTTTCTAAATTTTGAAACAGTCCCTTTGATAAATTTAGGCGATAAAATGAGAAGATAAAGTTCATCGGAACTATGTAATATATGTGTGTAATACACTTCGAAAAATTTGATTAGATATTTGCTGGTTTTGAGTGTATTGGACTAATATATAACATGGTTCTGATAAATGATTTTTATTTGCATTATCTGTGTCTTGGGTCAATTCCTCGGATATCATGTTACTCGCTGTTGTGATCACATTACTTTTACTGACTCCATAGGGTTGATGTAAGCTTAATGTGAGCTAACTTATAAAAGCATAGTTATAAGCAGAAACTATTCTTATATTAAAATAAGCTTCAATACGTAACGTAGATCTGATTAACTTTAGGAAATTTCACTTAGAATGATCTTTCAGTACGTAATTTAGCTTGTGTATCCAGTATTTCACAATGTTAATGGTTATTTAACTTCAGAAGGAATAACTGGTACAATAGTTGGAGAGTGATTATCGCGTCATATGAAGCTTTTTCTTGTGCGTTACGGTAGAGTCCCGTGTAGTTAAGTTCAAAAGTGATTTCATGTTTTTGCCAGTATAATGAACATTCTCATGAAGTATAAAAATGAAAATCTATTAACCTTAAGGATTACCTTTTTTCTGTGCATCATGATATTTATCTTTGCAAATAAACAGTCATTTCTAAAACCAAGTACGTCAGGACATCGGTTCAAGAAAGTACGTATAAATATACGTGAATCGATAAATTTTCAGGTGAAAGCTGCGATTAGATTAGAGAAATTGAAATCAAATAAAAGAAAGCTTCCCGAGATGCAACTGTGCGTAGTTCATCCTTTTTTTTATTTTTCTTGCAGAATATTACATGTCTAATCGAGATTTGCTTCCAGATCTACTATCTGACTCAGTTCTAAATGCCTTGTCACTTGAGACTTTAGTCAGGCAAGGAGCAGAAGCACGAATCTATCGCACTAAGTTGTTCCATTCAACATATACTTTTCCATGTATTGTTAAAGAAAGATTCGTCAAACGTTATCGTCATAGTACATTGGATGCCACTTTGTCAATGCAGCGAATGCGAGCTGAAGTCAGACAGATGTTGCGTTGTAGAGAAGTAGGAATAGATGTCCCTCCAGTCCTTCTGGTTGATGTTCGACGACGTCGGATTTGGCTCGGTGAAGTTGGTCCAGATGCTGTCACACTTCAAGACTGGTTTAAAAACTTATCTTCTCTAGCAACTGCATCAGATTTATGTACCATGGATATCCAGGAGAAAACAGCTTCACGATTGCGAAATTTAACAACGGCATTAGGTCGACTACTTGCTCAGCTACATTCTAACCATATAATACATGGTGATTTGACTATGTCCAATATTCTGGTTCAACAGGTATTTTTTTGCAAGCTTTTATAATATTTTTCTTTTAGTTCAATTATGATTTGCCATTTGTTTGAGTAACTGCATTACTAAAAATCAAGTGTTGTATATATTTCGGATCATATGTAATTCTGTACACTGATTCCATCCATGCATTGGTTAAAAAACAAAATCAGGTATTTTTTGGATAGATTACTGGTGTGTTCACAGACACTTCATCACTTAGGATAACAAATTAGTAATATTTTACTTACAAATACTCATAACATAAGTTTTGTATCTCATTGACAATGGTGTTTTGTTTGTCAGAAAGTAGGTCGCAGTTCGCGACGTTTCACCTTTTGTCCTGGTAGTGATGGTGTAGATGATGCCTCTAAATGCCCTGGTATGCCCGAGCGTTGGGAGGATTCGCTCTCCTCAAAACTTTCATATGACCACGCATATATAGCCAATCTCAGAGAAGTTCTACTGACTGCTTTCTCGTGACAGGGGCGCTTTAACCAAATTGATGGGTACGGAGGACCAACTTAGAGGGGTTGGAAAACCCTGATCCTGAACCAGTGATGCACATGGGGTTAAGGACTTTGAGGGGACAATTGTGATATGAACCTATTGTTGGTCACCGGTTACTATTGGACTGCATCTCCTAACGTCGCTTCACTGCCTTGTGGATTAGACCTCTGTGTCAAAGGCTCGGGGATTGGCCCCTTAAGAAAACCATTTGTCTATGTTTGGGCACCTGGGAAGTATCCTAGCCCACATAAACATTTAATGATAACTACTTTGTTTGGTGCATATCTATTTCGAAATCCCTTTGTATGAACATTTATGTGTGATTTCATCATAATTCATGGTCAAAATTAGTGTACAATTAACATACAAATGAGTGTATTCGACTAGGGTCGTCGTGTTTTGTAGTTAACAAATCTTTGCTTGTAACAGTCTTAGTACTCTTTGCGTCGGCGGGATTGCAGTGGTTCTTTGTTTTAAAAGTATAAGTATAAAGTGATTTCGACGTAACAATTAGCGACGACCAGCCATAACAATGTTTAAATATAAAAATAAATAATAGTTGTTGATGATTGTCACAGAATGATTTTTGATCGACTGCTCTGAAACTAAGGATACAGAAATCACGGGTGTCAAAAATCCAGCTATGTCTAATCTTCATGCTTTGAACATGTTAACGCAATTGAAACAAATTCCAGAAGTAAAATCCTATACTTACGATCGCTTTCTACCTTTAAACGAACTTGAAAAAGAAGAAACTGATGAGACCGGTAAGAGGTATATCACTAGTTCAGTTTCAACATTCTGATTTACTTATGAAATTCGATTTTGATATAGTGGTAGCTAAATGCTTACCAAGTGTAACACTATCAGTAAATTATTACATCATGGAGTCGTAGGATATAAATTTAGAAAATTATTGTTATTTGATTCATTCCTTGCTCTGTATCATCACTTGAGCAATGAAGATGTTAAATCACACTTTTTAATACTAACCTCCTTAATTCAACACTTCTCCATAATTTCAGGTAGATAATTGTAACAAAGAATCCGATTTTCGAGTCGTTCCTATAGATTTTGGACTTTCAAGCTCTTCTTCTGGATTAACCTCACAACGTTTAGCAGAAGATAAAGCTGTAGATCTGTATGTGTTTGAACGGGCCTTAACCTGTGGCCTTGATCACAAAGCCCTGTCAAAAATTACCACTGACCACGCCGATTTAAATACTCCAGAATCGCTTCTGAATTTAATTATAAAGTCCTATCGGGATAATTATGTATCGACAATACTGGATGATCAACAGATAAAGTCTAAACATGATAATGCAAAATCAGGTGGTCATTTGGAAAAACAAGATCACGAAGTCAAAGAAATTTTAAACAAATTGGAGGACGTTCGACTTCGTGGTCGAAAACGTCTGATGATCGGTTGAATCGCACTTTGTGAGTGCGTTAAGTGATAACTTTCTGCAAATTATCGTACATGTACATTATTTGAATAATTGTATTTTATAATTTCTGAACCCGTTTGACGACTCTAATCCAATTTCTTTTCTTGGATACAAAGCCACTAATGAAAATAACTTGATCAGTCAGGGTTTACGAAATTCGAATCGTGATGTATCCAAACGTCTGTCACACTATCAAACTGCAGCCAAATAGAACGTACCTTCTTCGAAGTAAGTGGATAAGAAATTTAGGATACGCACTAGAACCCGTAGAATATCATAATATTGTATTAAACGCTCGCTAGCAATTAGTAAGAAAATAATGATAAATAGTTGAAGTAGGTCGTCCACAAGAAACCTTGAACCTAGGTTTGGTAATATTCTACGCTCGTAAACGTTATTCGTAGATATAGTTAAGATGTAACTGCTTAAAAGTAGGTGAGTATTGAGTACATACTATTAGTTGTGTTGAGATATGGAAATAAATTGGATAAATGCAGCGTTACCTTAATGAATGTAACTTAAAAGATAGTATAGTTTACAAAATCCTAATAACACAAAATTACTGTCAATATATATATATATATATATATATATATATATATATATATATATATATATATATATATATATATTCATGGTCAAGGGACTTTAAATAGTTAAGTTGTTATTATTTAATAAAAATTTCCAAGAACAATTTGGTTTTCTGCTTTTACCATCTCAGCTTCTTTATTGTAAACGACGTCAAATGTACTATAAAGTAAACATTTAATCTGTTATACATCAACCGAATCAATCTAAAATTGTTTACCCTTCATACTAAAATATCATTTACACCCTAGACTGAAAATCACTAATGAGCGTTGAACATGGTTATTCCTTACTGAATGATAAATATTCCTAACGAATTCACTAGAAATGTCCTCTGACATTATTTAACCAGATATCAGATCCATATCTTAAGGTCAATTCGTGTGCCAGATCGAAGTAATGATAATTATCTACAACTAGAGAAATTAAAACGAAAACACAGAGCACGGAAAAACAAAGCAGTAATTACCAAAATATGCCAATAAGGTCTACCTAAATGCGTGTGTCATGTAACACAGTGATATACTGTTTATGTTATTCGAATTAGTTAAACTTGCTAGGGGCGGTGTTAACATATTGACAGCAAGTGGGTGGTTTTACTTAGGGAATTAACTAATAAAGATGGCTAAACATTTAAGGTTCCTAAAATATCACTTGTGGAATGAGATACACTTAAAGGCGCTAGACCATTCAATTCATTTTCAGAGGAGCAGTATGCATCGATGCAGCGAACAAATAATGGGAGTGATTTTATCGTGCGGATAAATTGTGGTAGGTTATTCCAGAGTCTAGAAAATTTACAGGTGAAGTAATTCATATAAAGAGATGATTTAGAATGAGTTCCAAAAGCTGATCACAAGCTTACTTCTGTTACCCCCTCACTTGTTTTAAATTGTTTGTTCTGGTTGGCGTTATTTTAGCAAGGTTGCTTTCTACGGGATGGGGTTTCCAACCCAATATCTAACCCGCTCTTTTACCCGGGCTTGGGACCGGCAGAAACCCTAGAAGAGTTGCAGGTCCATATGTTATTGTTAAATTGAAGAATTAAATATATCAGACTGACGTACAATGGTACAGTATGTTGACATATTTTTCTTTGGGATTGATGGACTGTCAAGAAACTTTGTTTTTGGCGTTGAATAAAATATAATTTGCTTTTGGTAAAATTCATTGTGGATTAAGCCGGTATATTGTTTCGATCAGTTTGAATGTCAGTAAGATGTTTTTAAGGTGGGGCTTTCTGTGAACATCCGGAAGTAAAACTAGCTATGTCACTAACAAACTTTATCATGTAAATTTAAAAACAATTCCCTTGATGTATATTATACCTATGTGTACCCCTTTGTTAGACAGCACTCAGAACAGTTTATGCCACTCACCCAGTGATATTTTAATATCAGTAGCTGTAATGTAATCATGATAAATAGCGCAAGTAGTTGAGATTGATATATTCAACCAGAAAAGTAGTAATTATAAACATTCTACTGGGAAACAGATATTCGTTCTATTCACTTGAGACCAATCATAACTTGAAATTGGTGAGGTGTAATATAAACAGGATGAGTAGTTGTGTGTAGTGCATTAGGACAAACTTATGAATCAGGAGATCTTCTTAGAATATGTAAAGATGTAATTTGTAATTGAAATTCTGAATATTAAATAGGACAACTAATATAAACGGCATGGGATCTGAAGGAAGAAGAACCATGAATCCATAATGTAGTGCATACTATCTTAATTAACTGAGGGTTTTCTGTGTAGTTTAAAAACATGTGTTTTAAATTAAGGAGACACTTTCGTGAAAAAGATTAAGCAGACTTATTATTTCATATCATAGTTCACTTAATCATTTTGAAAAGAGCAAGAACAAGCATTCCGCTAGAATGTTTCTTCTTGCTCTTTTCAAAACCTATTATTGTTTGACTATTTCAAACCATAGCCAGAGAACAAAACTCCACCAAAATAGTTTTATCGCTTACGAAGTATAGGTTGCTTCCTGTTGGAATACATGAAGTGCATTATTATGGCAATTCAATTTATACTTCTTTATAATAAACATCTATTTCAGTGTAAAGTAAACAAAAGTGTATTAGTAAAAGGTAACTTATGTCGGTAATATTATTTAACCTTCGAAATATTAACTAAACTCTTATTGAGTACCATCAAATGATAAATCATAAGATGCTCATATGTATGGGGGAATAAAGTATTCCTATCCATACATATTTCGCCCTATAATTCCTAAAATCTATTTGATAAATTGTAATATCTTGTGATTACTTTAAACAACAGTGTTACAATGTTCATTTCCCCCACGCGGGTTACTACCTAGGAAATTTTAAACACTAGTTGTCCTACTTTGTGTTTAAATGCATATTTACCACAATGATTATCATTACAATCAACACGTGATTTGTTACTAAGCTGATTCTAAAGCATGTAATCATAATATTTAGTTATTAGTATGTATATTTTCCATGTAATCGTTCAGAGAAATAGACAGGAAATTTATTTCCCTTGTTGATTGACATCTCAGGTATATTTTAATCAATCCTCCTGCTGGCATAAAAGATTCATTAGATTAAACATTGGGAATTCATATTACTAACTAGCAAACACAACAATAGAAATATTAAACAAATGAATGTGTGTTTTTGAGAGAAGGAGGAGACTAGATTGGGAAAATGAAAACGAACAAATAAGAAAATAGTAAAATAGAATGAGAAACCCTTTTTTTTCTTAATTTTAAATCAAAACTAACTTTTAATCAGTGTATATGTAGTAAGTTTAGTGACTGCAATAAAATAGTTTAGGGATGAAACAAAAGGGAGAAAGAAAGACCCACACTAGATTGCTAGTGACATATTTATTCAGTATAAATATTTCACCTATTGTCGTAAATGTACTATACATCCAACTGAAAAATCTAACAAGGAAATGAACGGTTAAAGGGTAAGCCATATTAACTAAGTATTACTTTTCCAAATCATTGTAAAATTATTAAGGTAAGGGATGAGCAACTGAAGGAAATTAAACATGAAAATAATATGCTTACAATTGTGGGATTAATGTAAGTAGTTAGTTAAGCTTTCAGTCAACAAAAATGTAACAGTGCTAATACAAGTAAGGTTGTACGGTTTGATTTTGATACACAGGATTAGTTTTTAAATCGGTTAACTAATCACCTTAATTAGTAGGAAATTTTTTTGAAATGAACATATTTCATTAAAGTAACACTGACATATCAAGTGTAAATGGGAAAGCTAAAGATCGACTACCTACGAGTAGTAATGGAAGTTTAACCATACTCACCATAGAAAGTTCATTAAAGATTATATGAATAAATGTTTAGTGCTTTTCAGTTCTTAAATTAAACCATTCTTTAGAGAAAAAGTATCTATAACTTGATTAATGAAGCTTAAAGTATAAAAAAAGTCATTTGAAATATTTTAATGACATTGGTAAAGTATCACAATAGTTCTTTTACTGTTTTAAATTGATCATGTGAAATTCCAAACAGAGTCCTTCAAAACTTAAAAATTCCTGTTAAATTAATAAGTATACGACTGAATTTTATTGAAATTATTTAATCTATTAGTTACGTTTGATTCGTTCTAGTATAATACCTTACGTCTGTTACTCCCAATTGAGAATAAGCCGCTGACCAGCGTTCTCCAACCCACTCTGTTCTGGGCCTTCCTTTCTAGTCCTATCCAATTGTTGTTCATTCTCCTCATGTCTGTCTCCATTTCTCGGCGTAATCTGTTCTTTGGTCTTCATCTTTTCATTTGGCCTGGGACTACTGCAGGTCCCATGCCTGGATAAAGGAGGAAGATTGGGCATGGGGTTAGCGACCCCATCCCGTAGAAAACTAACTGGTTAAAAAACGTGTGGTATTTGAATGAACTAATGATTCCCTTGTACTTGTTAAATGCTTGGCTTCGAATTCCAAATACAGTACATTCATTCGTTCTTATCTAGTACTTCATGATCCAGTCGCGTTATTTCTGGGATTCTTATTTAGTACTATAATTCAAATACTCCCAATTATCACAAAACGCTAACCGGAAAAAATAATTCAAACCATTTAAACTTTGCTCTGGGAGTTAGGTCTTCATTTAGAAGAGTTATGACGCCTCATGATGAAAGCCTAGTTCCTTCGGAAGTCATAAGGCCGATGCTCCTTTTAACAACCAGAGAAACAACTTTTACAGGTTTAGGAATTCTCGTACAATGTGGGAGATCAGAAGAGCCAAATTGCTGCCGAATTCAAGAGGTACAACCTGAAGGTACTAGAAATCAGTGAAACATTGAAAGCAGGTTGGACAACAACGACTAGCTTCTGTTATACTCTGGACATGAAGAAGAAAATGCTCCACATGCACAAGAAGTTGCACTGATGCTATCCAGTATAATACCTACAGTACATAATGTCTTAGAAACTTCATATTTTAAAATGTTCTTCAGTTTTTCTTCATCATATTCTTCCTGGTAATAAATGTCAAGTTTCATGAAACCATATACATGCATACCACCATTTTAAATATAACTGTCAACTAAGTAGGTTAATTCAATGTTGAATGAGATTTTTCGTTACTTCATTTTTTAAGTAATATGCACTTAACTTGAAAGATAAAAGAAATTAATGACCTGAACAAAAAGCATGGTAACTAAGCCTTTTCTACATTAATGGAATAATAAAATTAAGAGCTCAGTAAAAACAGACAGAAAGAGAGAGAGTCGGGGAGACAATAGAAGAAAAATAAGTGAGTATTACTTATAAAATGAAAGGATTAAGTTCCAAGAATATCAAAAGAAAAAAATTTTCGATAATGAGAACAAATATTTCAATCAAAAGGATTAAGTAACAGGTTAAATCATATACATATATATTTCTTTATCTGATCAATGTATATAACATTCATATTTTGTTCTAATGATGATAAAATTTTGACTTGAAACCTGAAAAAGAAAA